CATCCATCTATCCATCCACCCACCCATCCACCCATCCATCTATCCACCCACTCACCCATCACCCACCCATCCACTCATCTACTCACCCACCCATTCACTCAACCACCTGACCACCTACCCATCCATCTGTGGTGGTTTAAATGTGTTTGGCCCAGGGAGTGGCACTACTAGGAAGTGTGGCCTTGATGGAGTAGGTGCGGTCTTGTTGGAGAAAGTGTATCACAGTGGGGGTGGGCTTTGAGACCCTCCTCCTAGCTGCCTGCAAGTCAGTTTTCTCCAATTTGCTTTGGATCAAGATATAGAACTCTCACTGGGCTGTGGTGGCACACGCCTTTAATTCCAGCACTTGGGAGGCAGAGGCAGGTGGATTTCTGAGTTCGAGGCCAGCCTGATCTACAGAGTGAGTTCCAGGACAGCCAGAACTACACAGAGAAACCCTGTCTCGAAAAAAGAAAAAAAAAAAGATATAAAACTCTCAGCTCCTCCAGCACCATGCCTGCCTGGATGCTGCCATGCTTCCCACCATGCTGATAATGGATTTGACCTCAGAACTAGTAAGTAAGCCCCAATTAAATGTTGTCCTTTATAAGAGTTGCCTTGGTCATGTTGACTCTTCACAGTAATGGAAACCCTAACTAAGACACCATCTATCTATCTATCTATCTATCTATCTATCTATCTATCTATCTATCCTTCCATTCTTGGTCTTCATTTAACAAAGATTGAAGGTCTATATATCAGTGCATCAGGTAGAGAAGAGCAGGTTGGATAAAAGCAATTCCTGGTTCTAGATGGGCTAAGTGTACACACATAATGAAGCTAATGCATACTGAGTGTTGAATAGTCCAAAGAAAGGATGCCATCAAGGGGTAAACCTCAACTTGATGGTATGTGTATAGTCTTCAACCCACACTGGGCAGAAATGTGTCCCTCAAAACATTTATTGGAATCTTTATCCCAAGTACCCACAGATGTGACTTTATTTGGAAACAGTCTTTGCAGATGCACTCAGGTTAGGATGAAACCACATGGGATTAGGTTGGGCCCATAACCCATAACTAGAAAAGACTTTGGACAGAGGGAAGATGGAAGCAGTGTCTTCAGAGAGACAGTTACAAACCAAGGTGGGCCAGGGACTCCAGAGCCCAGAGAGCTGGAAAGAGGCAAGAACAGATTCTCCCCTAGAGCTCAGACATCTCGATGGTTCTGTGAGACCACACTTGTTCTGGCAGCTCTAGAACATTCACACCCACACCCTTAGCCTCCCATGCATATCCCACACTGAAGCCCCTAGCACCTATC